CGAGATCTTTGCGCCGTACAACGTAACTCATCGCGCTGATTCCGAATATGTAAAAATCTCAAATACCGCTTCTCTAGAAAAAAATCATCAAATTTTGATATGCAAACACTTGTGATAGGTAGAGAGTTTCACAGCTCGAATCAATCCAATCTTATTTCGATTGTAAATCTTGAAAACAATCATATACATAATTGCAGTCTTTGACTTTTGTATACGACTATAATGATGTATACTGACGACCAACATGCGATGACTCTAATGCTTATATGGGGGGATATACAAACACGAAAAGAGAAAAGAAATAAAACAATGAAAGAAAGACTCTTTATGGCATAGTTTTATCACAGAAATATTGTCTCTGTTTTAGATGACATCTCTCCTGGTGAATGTTCAAGTTCGTGGTTTAAATTTATCGTTCAGATCTGGACCAACAACAGAAGTTTTATGTTTGTTGAATATGGTTACAGAAGAAGAATTAAGAGATGATGAAGAATTTGAAGGTAAACAGATGAATGTTGATGTCCTTCAGTGTTTCTATATTTTATGTTTATTCTTAGATATAATGGAAGATGTCCGTGAAGAATGTAGAAAATATGATTTGGTTAAAAGTATTGAAATACCGGGCCCAATAATGGGAGTTGACGTGCCAGAAGTTGGAAAGGTAATTGCAGTCTATTTCATTTCTAAATACTATCTTGCTTAACAACTTTGTTTTTATGAATATCATACACAAGAATTTTGAAATAATAAACAGTCTTTTGTTTTTATATCTTTAGTTTAACAAATACAAATGGTCTTTCTTCCTATCTGTCTCTTCTTGTACAAGATTTTTTTTCTAATAAATGTGTTCTGTACTCCTTTTCAATATTCATTCAGAAACAAGAAAGTATGTGTACTTGGTTTTCTTTGTTGGTACTTGGCTGTATCAGTTTATCGCAAATAAAAATAAACAATTATGAATTGTTTTGTTCTTGCAGATGAACAGCAATTACAATGTAATTGAATAGATATAAAAAGTGAAATATGCTTTCATACTTATGTGTTTACTTTTGTTCTCTTAGAAAAACAAAACTAATAAATGAACAATGTATAAACTAATGAAATTCATGTTTAATCTATCATTATTTCGCACATTTGGAAAACAATCATCTTCAACTTCTATGTTAGAAAATATAAATAAATGTGAAGAAAATATGTTAAATCAAAACATAAAATCATATGATAAAATAATCCATATATTTGATCATGAATTAAATAGAAAAATTGAAATTGAAAATGATTTATCAGTTGAGATTATGTCACCTACAATTAGACATCAGGATGTTGTTTTAAGAACATATATTTCGTGATAGAAAAACCCGTATCAATAAGTCTGGTAATATATGTAAATGTTTTATTACTGTTGATGTTAATCAATATTTTATGAACCCACAGACACGTGCAATTTGTATTAAAAGACCTGATATATCGATTTATTATGATAAACCTGTTGAAAAATATAGTTGTGTTCGTGAAAGTGTACCACATACAATAATAGAGGTAATTAATGAAGGTGATGAGAAAAAGGACTATGTTACTAATGTTAATTTATATTTATGTAATAATGTCGATGATTATATTGTTATAAACCCATTAAATGATAAATATTCAATATGTCACTATACGACGAATGGTTCCATTGATTGTATTGGTAAACAAATATTAAAATTAACATGTGGATGTCCATTAGATATTTAACTATTTTATTCATAATTTTCTTCTGATTTTATCATTTTCATAGACATCTACTTTATTCTTACTTGTCATTGTATTGTTAGAAAGTCGATTGATCATTGTACCTAATAAAATACTATTTCTGCGTAAATATATATTGTTGTAGCTTGTCCGCGTTATCGGTGCCAGCGTGTAGAGACTTTCACTCCTTGTACGTTTTCTTTCAGAGGAACTGAAGGAAGCAGTTACACAAAATGATTTTTTCGCCACCTGTTTTAAAAGAATTTATTTTCTCAACAACGGAACAATATTTTCCAAAATCGACACGTAATTTTTTCGTGCTATTATGGCGAGTAGAATGATATAAAAATATAAACACTATTTTTCAGAGTCAGTTTTTTACGGAGAACAAGAATAAAAAACTGCCAAAATTCCCAAATACACCGTGTTCGAGGTTTACGTTCATTTTTAAAAAATTTCAAAAACGTTCATTTTTTAGAATTTTAAAATTTTCGGTCTTTTTAAATTTTCGACATTAAAATTTTGATTCGAAAGGTTAAAACACACATTTTCTTGTTCAGCTCGGCGAGCTCTATCCGATCATGTATAAATATCGCAAAAATAAATTTTGCTTAAGTTTTGAATTGCTGGGACCTTACTATGCGCACAGAAAAGAACGAGAAAAAAATAAAGAAGTGCGCACCACATGATCTGTCGATTTGCGGTGACCGGAAATTAACGGATCCGACTGGTTCCGGATATCGGATTCGATCTCCGGATCCTCCAGGATTCAGATATTGGAAAGCGAAAGAACTGAGCGGATTCCGGTCTCCGGATCCGGTCGGCCGTCCGAACTCCGAAAATCGCTGGAATTAAACTATTCTACAGGATCCAATAGGGCGAATTCGACCTGGAAACTTGATGGTCGTTAAAGAGCGAACAGTTCTCTCCAACAGTTCGCTCTTTTTTATCATGCCATTTGCTTTACTATTTTTTGTTTTGACTTTTTAAATTTTGTGACGTACGTACGAACGATTCGATGCTTCCTATTAGTTTCCAGGGAAAGTTGTTGAATTTCCAAAATATTCAGAAGACAGCCGTAATAACCATAATGGCCATAATCCGCTCTTCCGAAAACAGGATCCCGACTCTTTCGATAACGGAACCCCGACCCTCGTGTGAGCTTTTGCAAACAGATGTTTTTAAAATACTCTCAAGCACCCGCATTAAGAAATGGACCAGCCAGTATGAAATGGACCGATTAATATATAAAATGGCCAGAAATAGTTGGCCCACAACTTTCAATAATGACCATCCGTTTTTGAAAATTAAACAAAATCGTTTTTAGAAAATTATACATATATTCGTAATACAAAATTAAAAGATCATATAATCATACATCTAAAAAGAGAACCTTGCGATCCTATATTTAACAAAAGTAAAAGATCGTACGATTGTACACAGAAAGAAAGAATCTTCGAATGATGTTCCTGGTAAAGTGAGTTTTCCCCGCCTTCAATCCGATTAAAAAACATATCAGAATGTTTGACTCTATCATGTATGCACAGCGTTTCCTGAACTGAGCTACAGGTTTTCCAGAAAGCTCTTGGCTTTTTGTAAAAAGTAGTAAAATCTAGTTTTCTCTACTCGTGAGGATTTCTAGAAAAAACAACAACTAAAGATATTTGGAAGCGGCGTATAAGACTGCATCGAGCCATGTATCAAACAATAAGTTTTCGTATATAAGGTTTTGGCATGGCTAGAGAATGATAATGATCAATAAAAACAGGTTTATCCGCAAGAAAATTCTGATGTCTGCAGCCCAAGCCAAAACTAACCACTGGATCACTATTGAAAATTTCTTTCAAAACTCAAGCAGATTTCCAATGGCTACAAATGCAGAGGAGATTTATACTCATACTAAAAATTTCGTTACTAAAAATAGGCTTTTCATTAGTTTCTATAAAAAGTTTATTAAAACGATTTTGTTTAATTTTCAAAAAAGGATAGTCATTATTGAAAGTTGTGGGCCAACTATTTCTGTTCATTTTGTATATTGACCGGTCCATTTCATACTGGTTGGTTCATTTGTATATTGAAAAAGAAAATGTTGGCCAATTTACAAACAGACAACGAGACCGGGTCTATTTATATATTGGTCGGCCATTTTATAAACGGACCAACTTTCCAAATTGGCCACAACATTTCCTTTTTTTTTGTGAAAACTTCCAAGGACTTGTCCATTCTCCGAAGGAGATGGAAGTTTGAAGTTTATTTTTAAATAGAGAATCCTAGGAGAAAATGGATCTCGGAAAATGTTGGTGTTTACATAGTCGTAATCACGTGCAGATGGGGTTTACATTATCTTAAAACGGAGTTTACATAGTCTTAATTTCCTGTTAAGAACAGGCAAGAAGAATTTATATTTAAAAAACCATCGCCGTTATTTACAAAACGATTTGAATAGCACTGCAAGACCCTAGTAAAGATCACAGAAGTTTTCACACTTTTTGCTCCACAGGAGCAACGCTAACAAGCTTTTTATACAAGAACACAATTACCAACGTGTTTTGCAGTAACTCTAATATAAATACAGCTCTACTGTAGAAAATAAAAAATTATTTTAGGCTCAAATTTTTTGCACCGGACACTGAGTCATCGAAACTCGCTATTGTTCGACGACGTGTCAGTCAGTACTCACAGCTTTGGGCTTATCCCACCTCAGAATCACACGATGATACAGGGTTTTCGTGGTATCTTGTAAGGTCTTGTAGAATTCTACGGTAGGATTGTTTGACCCAGGCGGTCGTAAAATGTAGCCAAGAGTTGGCATTGCAACTTAACAGAGCTGAATTTTTGATTTTCGACTTAGTTTCTGAGAAAATAAAGAACTTTCTAAAAAATAGTTATTTGTTTCTGAGTTTTTATGAAATTTTTAAAATGACTGGAAAATCTGAGAAGTGCTGACACCTACTTTTGGAAAAGACGATTTCGAGAAAGAAACAAACGCGACGAAAATAAACGATTGATGCTAGGTAAGAATAGTTTACTAAGGTTATGGAATATGCCGAATCGAATGAGCATGTGCGGTATATTCATGCACTGTTTCGATGCTATAAGCACATTTTCACACAGAAAAAAATTCATATTTTTTGCAAGGTACCTTTTAAAAAACTTCTTAAAAATTCGTAAAACCCACAACTAAGACTAAAACCTATAGAGCATTCGAAAACTGACATGTTGGACTATCCAATGATGTATAAATTTCAAAGTCGACTTGTTTTCTGTTTGAGTGGAGCGGAAGCCTTAAAGTTTTACTTTGGAAAGTGTCAACTTTATATTTCCAAAAAATATTTTGTTGGAGAAAAATACAAAAAAAGTTTAAAAAAGTGCAGCGTGTAGATTATGTGTATCCACTTTCCACCCCTCTGTGCCAAACATCTAGCACTCACCTTTGCAAGTCGTGCGAGATAATTTACGTATTTTTTCATATGATAATAATAAAAAAATACATTTACTCTAGCTAACAGATAGGTTTTAGTCTTAGTTGTGGGTTTTACGAATTTTTAAGAAGTTTTTTAAAAGGTACCTTGCAAAA